CTCTCTCTCTCTCACACACACACACACACATACAAAATGTGTGTGTGTATGTATGTGTGTGTGTGTGTGTGAGAGAGAGAGAGAGAGGAAGGGAGGGAGGGAGGGAGGAAGGGGGGAAGGAGGGAGAGAGAATAAATATAAAAGTACTTAACTTGGGTGAGCATTTTCTAGCTTGACTTACCACTTAATGTTAGAGTTAAGAAAATAGCAGCAATTTTCTCACTGTATCAAACTCTCTAGCCATTGGCTTTAGTTCAGTGGTTCTCAACCTGTGGGTCAGGACCCCTTTGGAGGTCGAATGATCCTTTCACAGGGGTCACCTAAGACCATCAGAAAACACATATTTTCGAGGGTCTTAGGAACCGAGACACCAATTTTATGGTTGGGGATCACCACAACATAAGGAACTGTATTAAAGGGTCATGGCATTGGGAAGGTTGAGAACCACTGCTTTAATTGATAAAAACTTTCATCCTTTCTTCCATTATTTTCTGGCATTTCATATGCCCTCTGCATTGGTAGCAATTGTCCCTTTGCACTCTGCATCTTTTTCTGGGCTTCAGCATGCTCTTTCTAATTTTACCTAACAAGTCTTTTCAGTGATATGAACTCTCTCCATTCTGAGTCAGGGTTACCAGGCCTCTTTGTTCTACATAAAACCAACAAATCAGCTTCAACAGCCATCCTCCATCCCTTCCTTCCTTCCTTAATTAAATATATGTATGTAGCCTCTGCCCTACTAAAAGAAATCCTAGGTAATGAACAAAATAAAATCCCAATGTAATAAAACAACCATTTAAAACAATAAACTATATTGAGGCCCAGATAAAAATTCATATACTGTACATCAATCAATCACCCCATGCCACACTTCTTTTGACAGTATGACCCAGGTCTTGGGGGGGGAAATCAGATCTTCACTACTTTCTTGAAGGCGGACAAGTTTGAGGCCATCCATATATCTCGGGGGAAGCAAAGAGAAGGCATGCTTCCCATACCCAACCAGATGACATGGCTTCATTGAGGGAACTGGAGCATGTCCACTCTACTAGATCTAGTAGGACAGGCAGAAACCATTGAGGATAGGTGGTCCCACAAATAACTGGCCTAGGTAGGGTTTTAAAGATGACTTAGCACCCAGCACCCAGCACCCAACTAGCATTCAGAAACCAATAAAACTCATGCAGTAGTAGTGTCACATCATCACATTGAGGGGTGCCAGCTTCTGATCCAGGTAGATGGAGTAACTGGCACAAAATCACCCAGCTGACTTTGTGCACAAGGTGGACTAGAACTATATATAATTGTCCATTATGTCATTAGTAATCAGTGATAAGTAATCAGTGGTGGGTTGCAGATGGTATGCCCCACTACGGGCATACCGGAGCTTGCCCGGAGCACCGGGTACCGTTCCGGTATGGTGCTCCGGAGGGCGCACCCGCCCACCCACCCTGCATGCTGTGCGCGTCCATGTGGGTGACACCGGGCCCATTCCAACTGTATTGGTTGGAACAGGATCCGGAACCCACCACTGCAAGTAATGGAACAAATCCAGAGTTTTAATGGAACAAATCCAGAGTTTGCCTTATTTGATGAGCTCTTGCAGTTAGTTTTACAAATGATATATTTGGAATTTCGTCAAACTAAAAAAGAGGGAGATGTACTTGGCAATTTTTTCCCCCATACTGATCAAGAAAAAGAATGGGATAGAATCAACCATTTTGCAATTTGTGCAATTTTCTTAAAAGTAATTCCAACAGGAAGGCTAAAATAAGTCCGGATGATTATTGCAGCTTCATGATTGAAGTCTCCCATCTTTGTATCT